TACTTAAGCGGGTTCTTTTAAGTACCCAACCCGCTCAAGTACCTCAAAAAGCTGAAATTTTTCGTGAGGTACTTAAGCGGGTCTTACTGTACATACGTACATACTAATTAATGTATTTATGCTGATGCTTTTCAATTCATGCTAATTTGTAGCAAATATAGCACTCGCATCTCAAAGGGTTAATTTGTTTGTTCACAGTTTTTTGACCAGTGATGGGCACACCTAAATACTTTTGTACTTAAAGTACCACTTTGGGTACTAAATACACAAATAATTAGTATTTTGAGAGGACTAAATATTCAAGTAAAAAGAACTTAGGTATTTAGGAGCTGCTAAATACCCAAGTAAACAATACTTAGGTATTTAGGTGGTGCTAAATACTCAAGTAAAAAGTATTTAGGTATTTAGGAGCTAATAGATATTAAAGTAAGAAAAACTTGAGTATTTAGGAGCTGCTAGATACCAAAGTACAAAAAACGAAAGTATTTAGCAGGCGCTAAATACTCTGGTCCAAAGTACTCAGGAACCTTGGGGATGCAAAATACTTTCACTAAAGTACCAAGGTATTTAGTCGATGGCTAATACTTTCAAACTAAATACTGTATAATTTAGGAGAAATTTAGAGAATTAACACCTCACCCTACACTCACCTCAACTTACTTTACCACAACTCACTTCTCCTCAAATCTACTCACCACATACAAACTGACCACACCTCACCTCCTACTGGTACACCAAAATCCGCCAAATCTTAACTCACCACAGTTGAACTCATCACACCCGTTCTCACCTAAACTCACCACACCTCAATTTGGGAACTGTTTCTACATTTGAGAGATTCGTCAAACTAAATCAGGATTTTCAAGACTATTTCGGGGTTTTCGGGACTATTTTGGGATTTTCGAAGCTATTTCGTAATTCTTTAGGGATTCCCGGAAACTCTGTTTGAGATTTTCGGGATTCTCGGAACTAATATCGGGATTTTCGAAATGACTTTAAAAATATTTAGGGATTTTTGGAACTAGTTTCGTGATTTTTGGGACTTTCGAGATTCTCGGAGTTAATAGCGGGACATTCGGGAATATTTCGGAATTCTCGGGATTTTTGGGACTCCTGGACTATTTTTGGATTTTTAGGACTAATTTCAAGTTTTTGGGACTTTCGGGAGAATTTTTTGAATTTTTTGGGTTTTCTGGACTATTTCCAGATTTTTGGGACTTATTTCGGATTTATGGGGTTTTCGGGATTCTCGGGAATAATTTCGGGACTGTTGGGACTTTCGGGACTAATTTAGGATTTTTTGGTGCTCTCGGGATTATTTCGGGATTATCGGGAGTAATTTCGGGATTTTCGGGACTTTCGAGACTATTTCCAGATTTTTGGGACTAATTTCGGATTTTTGGGACTTTCGGGAGAAATTTAGGTATTTTTGGGACTATCGAGAATCCCGAAATTACTACCGACGATCCCGAAATAGACCCGAAAGTTCTAAACATCCAAAATAAGTCCCAAAAATCTGGAAATAGTCTCAAAAGTCCCAAAAATACCTAAATTACTCCCGATAATCCCGAAATAGTCCCGAGAGCCCCAAAAATCCTTAAATAGCATCGAAAGTCCCAACAGTCCCGAAACTAGCTCCGAGAATCCCGAAATAGTCCCGAAAGTTGTAAAAATCCGAAATAAGTCCCAAAAATCCCTAAATAGTTCTGCAAGTCCCAAAATTCCTAAATTTTCCCCAAAAATGGAGAAATAGTCCCGAAAATCCCAAAAATCCGAAATTAGTTCAAAAATCCCGCAATGCTCCTGAAAACTCGAAATGGTCCCGAAAGTCTAAAAAATCCAAAAGAAGTCCCCAAAAAATCGAAATATTCCGGAAAGTCCCAAAAATCCCGATATCAGTTCCGATAATTACGAAATATTCCCAAAAATCCTGAAATAGTTCCGAAGTCCCAAACTTCCTAAATTAGACCCGAAAATCCCGAAATAGTCCCGCTAGTTCAAAAATCCAAAAATAGTTCTGAAAGTACCAAAACTCCCGAAATTCCCCCGAAAATCCGAAATTATTCCTGAGCATCCCGACATAGTCCCAAAAATCTGGATACAGTCCTGAAAGTCCCAAAAATCCCGAAATTACTCAAGACAACCTCGAAATAGACCCGAAAGTCCCAAATATCCTACATTAGTCCCGACATTCTGGAAAAAGTCCCGAAAGTCCCAAAAATACCAAAATTACTCGCGATAATCCCGAAATAGTCCCGGGTTTCCCAAAAATCCGAAATTAGTCCCAAAGATCCCTAAATAGCCCCGAAAGTCCCAACAGTCCCAAAAATATTCCCGAGAAGCCCGAAAACTCCATAAATCCGAAATAATCCCCAAAAATCTGGAAATAGTCCCCAAGGACCGATATAAGTCCCAAAAATCGAAAAAAAGTCCCGGAGTCCCAAAAATTTCGAAATTACTCCCGAGAATTGCAAAATGTTGCCGAAAGTCCCAAAGAACCGAAAATCCCGAAACAGTCCCGAAAGTACCAAAAACTTGAAATTAGTGCTAAAAATCCAAAAATAGTCCAGGAGTCCGAAAAATCCCGAGAATCTCGAAATTCTTTCGAAAATCCCGCTATTAATTCCAAGAATACCGAAAGTCCCAAAAATCCCGAAACTAGTTCCAAAAATACCTAAATATTGTGAAAGTCGTCTCGAAAGTCCCGATATTAGTTCCAAGAATCCCGCAAATCTCAAACCCTTAATTCCTAAAGAATTACGAAATAGCTTCGGAAATCCCAAAATAGTCCCGAAAACCCAGAAATAGTCTTGAAAATCCTGATTTAGTCTGAGGAATCTCCCAAACCCCGCAACAGTTCTCAAATTGAGGTGTGGTGAGTTTAGGTGAGGTGTGGTGAGAACGGGTGTGATGAGTTCAACTATGGTGAGTTAAGATTTGGTGGATTTTGGTGTAGCAGTAGGTGTGGTGAGTTTAGGTGAGGTGTGGTGAGTTTGTATGTGGTGAGTTGATTTGAGGAGACGTGAAGTGAGTTGTGGTAAAGTAAGTTGAGGTGAGTGTAAGGTGGGATGTTAATTCTCTAAATTTCTCCTAAATTATACAGTATTTAGTTTGAAAGTATTTACCCATCGACTAAATACCTTGGTACTTTAGCGAAAGTATTTTGCACCCCCAAGGTACATGAGTACTTTGAACCAGAGTATTTAGCGCCTACTAAATACTTTCGTCTTTTGTACTTTGATATCTAGCAGCTCCTAAGTACTCAAGTTTTTCTTACTTTAATATCTAATAGCTCCTAAATACCTAAATACTTTTTACTTGAGTATTTAGCACCACCTAAATACCTAAGTATTGTTTACTTGGGTATTTAGCAGCTCCTAAATACCTAAATAGATAGTACTTTGGTATTTACAACAACACAAAATACCTAAATACTTTTGTACTTAGTATTTAATACTTAGTAAATACAATTTTGCCCATCACTGTTTTTGACATTATAACTAGCTACAAGAGAGTTCGAGCTAGTTGTCACTTCTACCTTATTAAATATGCCTTGCAAAAACCTGTAATAAATAGGAGTAACATTTATTTATAATTCATAATTAAGACCATAAAACACTTGCAATCATGGTATTAATGCTGTAGTAACCTTTCCTATTGTAAAAAAAGGTTGCTATCGCTATGTGGCTTTGTGATTTCAATGTGGGTGCCGTCCAAACAACCTATTATACCAGGTATTCCAAAGCTGTCCATAAAAGAGCGCTTGGATAAGCTGCGTTCTGCGTGGGACGTTCTCAATGTGAACCAGCTAGTGCAAACATATCGTTCCACAACAGTTAGGACACGGTTTAAAACTTGCAGACGGTGCTTCGCCCCAAAGCCACATGTCTATGCTTTGCAACACCTCCCTAAATGCGCCTTCTGTCAAAAACAACTTTTGACCTTGTAGTTTTTTCCCGGATGAGTACTTTCTGAGATAGGAGCTCGGATATTTTATGGGTACCCGGTATATCACGCATATTTCAGTAGTAGTTTTGGTTAGATTTGTGGTGACTTGGGCACATACAAACATACATATGTAGGTACATATCGTCATCGTCATATCACAAAATGCAAAACTGCGTATCAAGATAATGCAAAACCGCGTATGTGAGGTTGCATAAATTATTTTCTAGAGAGTAAAAACACTTATATTTCAAAATGGTTCTCTTTTTAATCGACTTCCCAAAAAGGAGAAGGTTATCAGTTCGTCGGAATATTTTTTTTTTATGTATGATACCGCATAACTTTCGATAATTTTGTTTTCATCGGAAAGGTGGTACCTCAAGGGTGGTCCCATACTAACTTTGTTTAGGTCTGACAATTGGATCGTGAAATTAACGATAATCTTAAATTTTTATATGCGAATTTTTTTGAGAAGTTTTGTGCTTAAAAATTGCTTGTTTTTAAAGCAATCGCATTTCTGGCTAATATCTTTCAGAACGAATGGATAAGGATTGAGCCAAAATCTTCGGTGAGCAAATCTAATTTTCGGTAGCAAATGTCAGTTACGCGGAATGACGATACGCGGTTTTGTACTTTAAATGACGATATGTATGTACATAAGTACAAACATTCATGCATATGTTCGTAAGAAAGTATGTGCAACTTATGACTTACAAACAATGTACAGTTTATATTTACTAAAATATTTATTGCCTCTCCCCACTCTCAGCACCAACAGTACAGAATTGTGTGCAACAGCTGTTTTCGGTAATCGCTCCATGCGTCTGCTCGAAAATGGCAACAAGTTGCGAAAAAGCTCCGTTTCATTCGTCCTCCCCCACCCCTATATACATACGTATGTATGTATGCATGTATGCTTTTGTTAGTCCATGCGTCGAAGTTACATTTCAATGCCAGCTTTGCGTAAAGCTTTCGAATGTAGAAACGACATCTCTGCTACTTGTTGGCGGAGTCCTTGCCAAAAGGATATCGGGCTATCAGTTGTCGGTGTGCTTTAATAGAGACTTGAACGTTCAATGCGGTATGTGATTAGACACGGGATTAAGTCTATAGTGTAATTAACTAAGTCTTCAGCGAGGGGGAGCAACCGTGACGATGTTGTGCGGGGTGACGGTGTGTTGACGGGACATACATACATATATGAGTTGAGATAGTGGCCAAGTGTTTACCAGTGTGTGCGTAAAGTATTTAATGAAATACGCAGTTACCAAGGCAATGCGTGTTTTGTGTGTGCACTAGTACCTACATAAGTGTAAGTGTTCGCTTGGCAAAAGGAAATTTTTGGTGAATTTCGGACTTTGAAGTAATTGCTGATCTGAGAAAATATGTATGTATGTATTTATTCATCAACTCGGGGATATTGGCGAAAACGAAGGGCGGATGAAGAAGCGTTGGAATTGAGAAAATCGTTAGATAATTTAATTTCTTAAAGTAGAATTTTCTTTGAAGGCATGCAATTAATAAGTAGGACTTACTTCGATTATTCTTACGTATCGCCAGTTGAGAAGGACATTCCGAATGTAACACATACACACCTTTTTACGCGAAATTATATTTTAAAAATGTGCATACATACGCAGATTTTTATAATACATATGTTGGGTGGCCACGAAATTCCTGATGGATTACAATTTTTATACATACTTACAAACATTTTTTATTCATACAAAGTTAGTGCCAGACGTTTTTTTGTTTTTGGTATTGATTGTGTTATTTATTGAATCTGCTTAAATTTAAAGTTTAACAATAAGTAGTGAAGTCTTTTATCTAGTTTAATTAAATATGAGCCCAAGCGCTAGGATTGAGCCCTGTGAGTTTTGCAGCGCTGTGAGGCTGCAAGAACATTCCTTTGCAAGTGTGATTGGTTTATTGAGTCACAGAAAGAGATTAGGATGGTTTTGTAATTTTCTTATTTAGTTCACTTTACTGCTGCATTCTATTTCAACTTCTACAGTGGGCATATCCAAATCTTTGTAGGAGTTTCGTCGCGGTCATACCATGGCGCTCTTGGAAATGCCCTTAGCATTTTCGACTAGAATCTTTGAATTACATATGTGAATTTTGCTTGCACAGGTTATACCCCACAGTTCAATACCATACATCTAGATTTTCTTTACATCTGCATTATATAGCAGTACTTTATAGTCTGAGCTCAACGCCGACTTTTTGTGTAAGGCTATCTGCACACTTGTCGTCCAATCATAGTTGCGTTATCGTCTTGCCCTGAAATTTTGAGCCGAGCACATGCATTTCAAAGGAGATCTGCACACTTGTCGTTATCGGCTAGTTATCGGCAAATCGTAGAAGATGCAGAAACGGATAAGTACGACCATGTCGTTTGCTAATCGTTGTGCACGCATTGTTTGTTTACATTTTATGGGGAAAAATGAGTGAAAAAGTTAATATTTGCATTAAAATTGCATAAAAATTAGTATTTTTTGCATAAAATCTGTGGAAATTATTAAAAAGTGGATAATTGCATTAAAATTCAATAAATGTGAGCATTTTAACTATAAAATATGACGAAATTTTAAAAAGTCTCTGTGTGCATGCACAAAACACATTTCAGGAAAAGAAAAGAAGAGATATTACTGAAAAATGATGTCTAGTATTGTTGCAGCACAGTCTATATTTTAAAAATTGCAGGTTTTTGTAAATATTTCGCGAAAATATCAACAAGAAAAACAGAAAATACCTGCTCCAAGTGAATTTTTAGAAGCCAAATGAATTGAAATATCACGACCGAGTGTGCGAAAGTGTAGTCGTCATGTAATCGTTGCATCATGATTGTGACGATGAAGCAACTATGATTGGACGACCAATGTGCAGAAAGCCTAAAGCTAATGTAAGCTAACGGATTTTAGTTTCATTTGCAGTATTCCTATTTATTTTATGCATATATGTATATATATTTTTCGTATAAATGTAAATCAATACTTTTCAACCGTTCAATGGGTTCAAGCCCGGTTCAAGGTTTCTTTTCTAATAGCGGTCGCCCATCGGAAGTCAATGGCAAACCTCAGAGTGCATTTCGGCCATGAAAAACAGCTACTCAAAAAAATGCAATCGCCGTTCGGAGTCGGCGTAAAACTAGGTCCCTACCCTTTGTGTAAAAACATCAAGGTGCATGCCACAAATCGGAGGAGAAGTTCGGTCAAACACCAACTATGTGTAAGCGCCATATATATATATATATATATATATATACATATATACCATTTCTACGCCAAAAATTTTTTACCCAAATAAAATACATGCGAAACTTTGAACGCTTTGATCGACCTCTTAATATTTTGTTATTAAACAAAAAAAAAACAAGAGTATATTTCTTTCGATATAGAACATATAGAACAATCCTAGGCGGTGAGAGCATTAAACTTCCGCTATTACTTTCCTTGGACCACCCTTCAGTTTAATCGGCGCCCAAGTTTCTTCTTCTTATTTGGCACTGTAACCGCCTAAACGAGTTTGGCCGAGTTCAACAAAGCACGCCAGTAGTTTCTTTTCTGTGCCAACTGACGCCAATTGGAAATGCCAATTGCCTGGTCTTTCCATCGCAGTGGGGGCCTCCCTCTTCCTCTGCTACCACCAGCGAGAGTTGAATACTTTCAGAGCTGGAGCGTAGGTGTCCATTCGAACGACATGGCCAAGCCAGCGGAGCCGCTGTATTTTAATTCTCTGCACTGTAGAGTTGTAAAACTATCGATAGTGCCACCATCAATAGTTTCCATGTTTCAGAAAAAAACTATAATTTCTCGTTGATAGTTTCCAGCAATACTATCGATAGTGTCAAACGCTACCATCGATAGTACTATCGATAGTCAATGTAATGTTAAAAACTGTTCCAAATTAACAGGGACGGCATCGAAAAACAAAAAAAAAAAAAAATAAATATTGAAAATATAAGCACACGTTTTCTTAAGTAACTTTTAACTTTAAAATTCACTTTAAGTTTAAATATTGCTTTAACATGTATAGTTCTGTCGAAGTAAAGCATTTTATTATCGAATTTTATTTATTTATTTACATATCTATTACTGAAGCTTACAATTAAAAACAAAATTATAAGCCTAGTAAAGAAAGCTTCTTCTTATGATCTATAACACATGGCAACAAAAATGGGAAAAAATTTGTTGCGGCAAATGTTACAAGAAACATACAAACGTCAAATACCGATAATAGAAATGCTTTACTTCAGGCATAGCGTTATGGTTTGAAGCAACGTTTAAATATAAAGGGAGCTTTTCAATTAAAGGTTCCTTGAGAAAACGGCCATTAAAGGAGGAATCACAATGAAAGTATCACTTATAATAAAAAATTGACAAACTTAAAATACTGACGCGCAGCTACATGGAGACATTATAAATAAAATCGGCTGTGCTAGAGGTACTATCGGTAGTCAACTAGTACTATCGATAGTTCAACCTTTTTTGAGAAAAACTATCACTACTCATCGATTGGGGCAAAAAAATAAAACTATCGATAGTACCATCGATAGCTTGACACCTCTACTGCTCTATGTCCATGTCGTTGTTATAGAGTGGGGTTTTCGTACGTCAAGAGAGGACCTTGCTCCTGAACTGCCTACTCAGTCCAAAGTAGCACCTGTTGGCAAGTGTTAATGCTGGTTCCCAAGTAAATGAATTTCTCTACGTTTTCTAAAATGCACTTACAGTGTCGGGAGTTCCAAGGCGCGAATACGTTGACTGTTTGCTTAATGACAGGTGATACTTCGTCTTTTCCTCGTTTACCACCAGACCCATTCGCTTTGCTTCCTTATCTAACTTGGAAAAGGCAGAAAAGACTTCGCGGTTCTTGTTACTGATGATGTCGATGTCATCGGCTCACGCCAGCAATTGCACGCTCTTGTAGTAAATTATTTTTGAGCGGTTGAGTTCTGCCGCTCCTATTATCTTCTCCAACATCAGGGTAAAGAAGTCACATGAAAGGTAGTCGCCGTCTGAAACCCCGTTGGGTGGCGAACGGCTCGGAGAGGTCTTGCCCAATACTGACGGAGCTAGTGGTATTGCTCAACGTCATTTTACACAACCGCATCGGTTTGGCGGGGATGCCAAACTCAGACATAGCGGCGCCTAAGTTTGGGATGCTATAATACAGTGGCCATCCGTCCTGTATTTTACGGGACAGTCCGCTTTTTTCGTCCTTTGTGCTGGTAATTTATTTATTTCATACTGTACGCCAAATGTTCTGTATTCCTTTTATGTCCCTTATTTGTCCCGTATTCGGTATTTTGGCTCCTCAACAGCTCATATAAATAACATGCCTATGAACTAGTTTTATTTTTAAATATTGTGATTCGAATCAAGGAGCACATATGTAGATGGTTTCTGTGGTTATAATTTTTCGTAAAATCTCTGGGTATTTGTGAGTATGAATCGAAAATAGACGTTAAAGATTATAGTTCCAATTTCTAAAAGAATTTTCTTTCAACGCATTTCACGTTGAATATTCAGTAGAGCAGCTGATTTCACTTTTTTCGAGAATTTCGTCTTTAAATTGTCACTGTTACTCACATTTTATTAGAACACATATGAACTCCAAAACCAACAAAAAATACATAAAGCTTACTGTCCAAAGCCGGGTGTGGACGCAATTTTCGAATAGAGAAGATATTCATTAGGCGAAATACGCGGAACAAATTATTGCTAATTGTATGAGGGATTGTAACTTCAACATGAGAAACTTCAAACAAGATGGCTATCAGGAGTTTGTTGTAAGAGTAAAGAAGTTCTCAAAGATGGAAGGGTACGCATTGTGCTTGGGCAAAATCCGAGTCTGAAAATTATCCGCTGAATACCACTCGTGCTTCAAAAGTAGTCCGATATTTTCATCATGTTTCACTGCCTAGGAATGTCTGAAACAATTTTGCGGGGCTATGGAAAAATATTGTTCGGAATTTCGGTATCTTGTACCTCCTAGTAAAAAAATCCCCGTTTTACTTGGGTTTACACCCAATCCGCAACTAGAGGCCCAGTTCTCAACCAAGTTCAGGTAATCCTGCATTACTTCAAATAGAGCGTCCGGAAACTTTCTTTGTGTTATCAAAGCTACATCGTCAGCATAGGCAACCACCCGACAGCCACTCCTTTCTAGATCCACGAATTTCTTCTGCAAAAAGGTCTGCTCGATACTCTAAACGTAGGGCCGTCTCGACAGACCTGCCCTTACAGTAGTCATGCTGCTCCAATTAAAGGCGCCCCCTGGGGATCCCACTTCTTAAGTGCAGGTCTATCAGCCTCTCCAGCGTCTTTAACAGAAACGAAGTATCGGCCTGAAGTCCCTGGGTGATACATGGGAGGCGCCTTTACCCGCCTTTGGAATGCACACTACCACGACCACCGTCCAAGGCTCCGGGAACATGACCCCTAGCCAGCCAACTTGCAAAGA